CTTGTAGGCTGACTTCCATTACGTTTGTGCTACGTAGGACTGATTTAATGTCTCGCTGAGTTTCAAAATGTACAATTCAACTCAGTTGCTTAAAGTCATAAATGAACTATTACATAAGTACCATATTTTCTGCAATATGTCATGTTTTTCATCATCTGAGAGGTGCTGCAATTTATATTCCAAAGTGAGTTATATAATGGCATTAACGGCAAGCAAGCAAAATTTGTGCACACATTTGGAAAATGCTGAAGACAATGTACACAGGAATGTTGAAATTAAAGTGATCCTGGCGCATATTGCATTACCAAATGCTACCGACTTCAGCATTGTGATGTATTTCCAAATGAAACAGAATATTGATTAGAGGGCGGGGTTTTATTTTACCGCATCTCTCTGCCAAAATTTTCAGATTTCGAATTGGATTGGAATTAAAGATTAAATAGTGTCATTTTTGATTTCGTGCAGACTTTAACTGAGGTGCACAGCAGAGATGGTGTTTGTGTGGAGCAGCATTTACTGCGAAAGTAGTTCCACTACTGAAAACACCAGAACACAGTGGCTACGTTTACATGCACAATTTTTGGTTCAATCGGACTGAATTCATTCCGATTGATGAATCTGAATGTAGTGTTTAGATGAACGCTAAATGAAGTGACGGGGTTGATGTGCGTGTTTATATGTCAAAAGCTTCAAATCGGAATTGATTTTTTTTTACATGCACACACTGCACAAATATAGAGTTTCTCACGGTTTGCACATAATAACCACTCTCCTACACGGTTTCTTTGTTTGTTTTTAACAGCAGAATTAATATTTATCCATTTATGGATAAATATACATATAAACCACTGTGCCGTGCTGCTCATATTTATCACACAGTAAAAATGCCCCTCCCTGCGCCCAAGGACTGGTGGGAGGTTGTCCTGCTCCACTTCACAGTTGCCGAGTGAAAGGAGAGTTTTATTATGACAGGGCACGCATTTATACAACACTTTATTCAAAAGGAAGAAGCGCTCGTTCTGCGTGTCATACGTCATTGCGCTATTTCTAAGTCATTGCACATGCGCAGTCCTTTCAGTTTCGGGGTTCAATCCGATCAAGTGTTTACATGCACTCTCAATTGTATTAGAAAAGGAATAAACCACCCCCTTCAATCCGATCGAAATTTCATCAGATAGATTAAGGTGTTTACATGAAGGCTTTTCAGTCCGATTGAGCTGTAAATCCGATTACAAACAGATTATTTGGTTGCATGTAAATGTAGCCATTGTAAATAAACACAATGCCATGTTTCACTCAGAAACACAGAGTGTATCAGACTAAATCACAGTCTCTTCCGATCTGATAATTGCACTAAAGGTGCGGTCAAATTTACTGTTGCTCTGCACAATTTTGTGGGCACTTTGCTGACATTTCATTTGAATCTGTGTGTTCGGGAGTTTCACGTGACGGCAAAAAAGTTCACTCATGTTCAAGTTGGTCACGCAAATAAAAAGCTGACCAACAGAAAGCTGCTTGGTTTGAAAGTGATTTCTGTGTGAGCTGTGGACATCACTATTGACGATGGCACAGATATTTGAGGGAAACTTTATTGCTGCCCTCCTTTGTAATGAAGTTTGTTACCAGCACACTAAAGCAGAAATTCTAGTCCCTCCTGGGTTTTTGTGTTTGCAAGAATTCATGCAAACTCAACCAATCATCACATCATTTGCGACAGTTTGCATTCTTGTCTTATTCTTAGAAAAACAAAAAAAAACATTTTCTGAGGTGGGAAAGCATTTTTAGCTAATCAAAATATATAATTCCAAGTCTAAAAATTCAATATGCGTTCAGTTTTCTTGTCATTATAAAATGCTGCAAATATCATCAGCATTTTTGAGAAGAGCTGAAGCATTTTTGACTGCATAAAACAGAAAAAAAGTCCTGTGAAATCCCAATAGGACTAAGGAATGCATGCTAAGCATGTACATCAGGACCGCATGCTTACAATGCTTTGACCAGCCATTCACTCTTATGCACTTATGTAAAGTATGTGTCTGGTCCAACACTGCAGAGGTCTTTGGAAATATATTCACTGATGTACCCACACATCCTCAAAAACTTGACCATCTTCCATGGCAAATGTCCAGTTGACAGGACGATACACAAAATACCTTTGCCATCTGTGACCATCTGAGTCTGCCAGCTCTCGTCTCATCCTGTAGTTCAGCTCAATGATCCCCAAGAGCCAAGATGAAAAGATTCCCCTTTTAAGTACTGATATGATTTTACGGGTGCTGATCCCTAATTTTTTATTTTTATTTTTAAATACCATGCATGAGAGCAAGATACAGGGCAAGGGAAAGTTCAGGGGGAGGAGCTATATTAGACCTGCAACATCAGCAAGCAACCATTCTCTCCTTCATATTCTTCTTTGTTTATGTTTTATTTTTCACTGCAAATCATTGCACAGACAACTTGGATTGCAAGCTTTTTGCGTGCTACCGTTTTTGACAGGAATAAATCCATTCTTGCACAAAAACGCCTCTCTCGCGTGATTTTTACGTTATTTCCCGTATCAATTGTGGCGTGTGTTTGGTTGTGAAATGTAGTTACCATCCTAAAGACTTCAGTTCCAGCCCTGCTCCAACACACCTGTCTATAAGTATCAAGTAACCCTGAACACATTGATTAGGTGTTTCAGGTGTGTTTTTTACTGAGGTTGGAGCTGAAATCTGCAGGACAGTAGCTCTCCAGAAGCAGGATTGGAGACCCTTACTCTAAATCAGGGGTGTCAAACTCAATTCCTGGAGGGCCGGAGCCCTGCAGAGTTTTGTTCCAACCCTGCTCTAACACACATACCATATAGTTTTCAACTAAGCCTGAAGGACTTGATTAGTTGGATCAGGTGTGCTTAATTAGGGTTGAATCTAAACTCTGCAGGGCTCTGGCCCTCCAGGAACTGAGTTTGACACCCCTGCTCTAAATAGTGTTAAACTCTCGGGGACGGGTGAAGTTTAGTAGAAATGGACAAGCAATGTTAGTTTTACTCGTTTTGTTGGCCATTTAAGTTTCAGGAGTGTTGCACTAGTCGGCCCTGACCTGAGTGAAATCTCAGATGAGATGTGCATTTCACTGCATATAACTGTATAGTAAACATCAAATATGATTTGATTTGCGGTCACATTACACAGCACTTCACTTTCAGTGTGCAGAGAGAAACTGCTTGATTTGTCACACCTGGTTAGGACACGGTCTAATAGACCAGGGAACTTGAGAATCAAGACTGCTTACCTGGCATCTTTTTCTTTTGACCTGCTTGGAATGGCTTTATGCCAGTTAAGTTTTAAAGAAGCTACAGCTGTCTAAAGCTATGATAGATCGAGACTCCACGCCAAAATAATTAAGATCCAGCCCCGGATGACTGATCCTGTCAGAAATTATCAGTTTTGTCTGGTAACAGAACAACTATTCGGCAGAGCTGTCGATACCCAAAACCTGTAAACAGCAAGTCTTGTCTAGTACCCAAACATACCCAAAACGAATGTTTAACAGTCTTCTATCAGCCAAGAAGTTGACTGAGTAAAACCAGAGAAGAGCATAAGCAGCAGACGAACTGATGATGATTAAAAAAATGCACAGAGTGCAATCGTAGTTGCACAATCTTATTTGTACAATCTTAGTTGCGTATGTCTCAATGCTCAGACTTCGTCTGACGAACACAAATTGAACAAGTAATGTTATATCAACTGATTCACAACATCCCATAAACCTTGGATTTCCATAAACATTCCCTCTTATCTCTTACTCATACAGACAAAACAGTTCATGAAACCCCACAATCATGAGTTTGAACAATGAAAATGCATATGCAAGAAAAATAATAAGAAATATAAAATATTAAAACATAATAAAAATAATAAAGTATCATTGATATAAATGGTAAATGATAAAAATAATCAAATAATAAATTATATAAATGACTAATGATTATGAATGATTACATGAATAAATGGATTATAAATTAAATAAAAACAAGAAAATAAAAACACAACCCAAACTCTCTTGATGCAACACTCACCGTTTGCATTTAAGGATCCTTAGATCCTTCAGCTACAAACTTTCTGCACTTCCTATATCCTTATTTGTAATCTTCGTATCAGATGCAAAGCTAACTAACGACCGGTAGACCTTTGGGATACAGTGTTAGTGACAACCATCTTATTAGCTGAGGTCAAGTGCGTGACTCTGGCTTCCTATTCTAACTCATCATTCATCAAAGGTGTTCACTGGGGTTCAGGTCTGGGTTTTGTGCAAGACGGTCAAGTTCTTCACAAGGATGTTGCAATTTCAGAACAGAAGCACAGAATTCTGGACATTCAAAACTGGACATGGAGCTTACAGCCACGTAGTGTTCTTCAAAACCCTTTCGTATTTGGGACCTGCTATTTATCAGAAGCCAACAATGACATGGCAGAGCCAAGACTTAAACAAATTTGCCAAAGACCCTTACAAAAAACGCCAGAGCTCTGGCAAGGCCAGTACTTAACACATTATTATCCAGATTATGTGTTCCTATTTCATCCACAATTATGAAATAAACTGAACATGATTGTACTGAACGTCCTCATCTACCCTGATGTAGTGTAGTAGAGTAGTAAACCCTGGTAAAGCTCAGTACATGAGCACATGCATCAGTGATAGAATCATCACACACACGCACACACACACACATGTCTGGTCAGCTATCCTTGTGGGGACTCTCCATAGGTGTAATGGTTTTTCTACTGTACAGACCGTATATTCTATTGCCCTACACCAACCCTACCCCTAAACCTACCCCTAAAAGGAAACTTTCTGCATTTTTAGATTTTCAAAAAACTTAATTCTGTATGATTTACAAGCTTTTGTACCCGTGGGTGACACGAGTCCCCATGAGTCTGTGTGTAGTCAGGTTTAAGTCCCCACAAGGATATATAAACCAGTATACACACACACACACATACACACACACACAGTACCTTGGCACTGGAAACCTTGTTTTCCAAATCCCCTGTAGAGTTGCATTTGAGAAAGAAAAAAAAAACAACTGTGTTAGTGACAAAGCTGCATCACTTTCATTGTTTTAAAACAACTTTCCTAGGAATTTTTTTTTTCTTTAACGTTAATGATTGTAAAAGGTTGAAGAGTATTAAAACAGGATTTAGGTATTAATATGCTTGAACAATACCAAACATCCGTTCAGCAAATCCAGATTCATTATGTCATGAAATGGTTTTGTGAATGTGCATTAACAGCTCATTATCATTATCTGTAACCGACCGTCTTTAAGATTAAATTAAACATATTAAACATATTGAAATTGTGATTTATTAAAATGTTTAAATGTATTTAGTATTATTATTATTGCAAATGTATGACAATAATAACACGTAAGCCTGTTGGAAGACTAATGAATGAATAAATGATAAAATTACATTCTAAAAAATGCTGGGTTAAATACAACCCAGTGCTGGGTAAAATAGGGACAAACCCAGCAATTGGGCTGTTTGGACCCATGGGGTGGGGTTAAATGTTTAACCCAACCTTTTGGGTAGTAACCCAACCGCTGGGTCAAAACAACCCAATTGCTAGGTTTGTCCCTATTTAACCCAGCACTGGGTTGTGTGATTTATTAAAATGTTTAAATGTATTTAGTATTATTATTATTGCAAATGTATGACAATAATAACACGTAAGCCTGTTGGAAGACTAATGAATGAATAAATGATAAAATTACATTCTAAAAAATGCTGGGTTAAATACAACCCAGTGCTGGGTAAAATAGGGACAAACCCAACAATTGGGCTGTTTGGACCCCAGTTACAACCCAACCGCTGGGTCAAAACAACCCAATTGCTAGGTTTGTCCCTATTTAACCCAGCACTGGGTTGTATTTAACCCAGCATTTTTTAGAGTGTATACAAAACAAACAGTGACCAAATAAAATAAAGTGGCTTCATGCAGTGGCACTACTACAAAATATCTCATCATATTTTCAACATTTAAGTAATTTGAAGAGGTTTTCCATGCATTACTGAGAAAGACTATTATGTTTGCCACTATAAAAGTAAGAGATGATCGACACCTGTCAAAAGATTCAAGAGTGCATGCAAGTCATTTTAAGATGTTTTGCCTCATGAAAACAAATCATCCAGTTAACTTAGCAAATTACAAATTAATTGAAATGCTATATAAATAGACAATATGCTAAATAAATACCAAAGAACAATTTTTTTCACAAACTGAAAATGCAAACATCACGCTAATTTATTCGTGTATGCACCACAATTTCCTATGAAAGGAAACATAGTTTTTCATGTATTACTGAGGAAGACCGTATTATGCATGCCGCTATCAAAAGTAAGAAATGATTGACACCTGTAAAAACCAAACATTCAAGACTGCACTTTCTCAAAGTTCCACATGTAATGCATGAGTACTGAATGCCGAGTAGCCTATGTTACCAGATAAAGTCGGTGCAGTGGCTGCAGAATGTGGGCTGCTTGAAGAATCGAGCAGTAAATTTGTGGTTTTTAACTTCGTGCACGTTCTTCTGTCGCAGAGCTCCTTTCCTCGCGAATCGATTGACAGCGGCGGAAGAGTCATTGATCTGTATCAGATGATCAGCCATCGCGCCGCTATTCCTCAGGTGTGTGTCTCCTCCGCTGCGCGACGCGTCTACTGTACGCGTTCAGCTGCGTCTCTCCTGTTACAGCGCGCGCCTCTCTCACTTACACTGACGTCAACACTCTCCACCTTGCCTGGCCAGTCGTCACTCAATGCGAGGGTGCATAACGCCATCCCGTGGAAGAGAATTAGAAAAACGCCATCTGTACTGTTGGAAACGCGTTCAAACGTAGTCGAACAGCAGTCTGTCGACCTATTACAACCATTTGCATGGCTAAATAATGGATATTTATAGACAGGGATGGGCAGTATTTCAGATACATGTATTTCAAATACGTATTTGAAATGCAATAATATTTATTTTTTGTATTTTAAAGCCTTTGGAAAAAAAAACTAATGTAATTTGCATTTATTTATTTTTATTTTAGTCATTTAGCAGACGCTTTTATCCAAAGCGGCTTACAAATGAGGACAACAGAAGCAATCAATTGTAGTATTAAAACAACTCAAAACAGATCCAAAACTAAAAGCTAAAGCTTTATAAATACTACTTAGCCTACACACATTTTAAAAATAAAGAAATTAAATAAAAATGACAAATGCGTACAACAAAATGTCAAAACTTAAACAAAAAATTAAGTTAAAAACAATTCAAAATATGAAAGAACAAAAGGTATACGAGTATAATAACGATTCTAACATAACACTAAGTCAACACCAAAAAAAACAACTACATATGTGTATGTACAACCACATATACTGAACAAAATTATAAACGCAACACTTTTGTTTTTGTCCCCATTTTTCATGAGCTGAACTCAAAGATCTAAGACTTTTTCTATGGACACAAAAGGCCTATTTCTCTCAAATATTGTTCACAAATCTGTCTAAATCTGTGTTAGTGAGCACTTCTCCTTTGCTGAGATAATCCATCCACCTCACAGGTGTGGCATATCAAGATGCTGATTAGACAGCATGATTATTGCACAGGTGTGCCTTAGGCTGGCCACAATAAAAGGCCACTCTAAAATGTGCAGTTTTACTGGAGGGGGGTCCGAAAACCAGTCAGTATCTGGTGTGACCACCATTTGCCTCACGCAGTGCAACACATCTCCTTCGCATAGAGTTGATCAGGTTGTTGATTGTGGCCTGTGGAATGTTGGTCCACTCCTCTTCAATGGCTGTGCAAAGTTGCTGGATATTGGCAGGAACTGGAACATGCTGTCATATACGCCGATCCAGAGCATCCCAAACATGCTCAATGGGTGATATGTCCGGTGAGTATGCTGGTCATGCAAGAACTGGGATGTTTTCAGCTTCCAGGAATTGTGTACAGATCCTTGCAACATGGGGCCGTGCATTATCATTATCATGGGCCTCAGGATCTCATCTTGGTATCTCTGTGCATTCAAAATGTCATCAATAAAATGCACCTGTGTTCGTTGTCCATAACATACGCCTGCCCATACCATAACCCCACCGCCACCATGGGCCACTCGATC